GAAGGAAATCCTGCCGTTTTTGACAACATAGCTGAACCTTGAGGGTATTATGCTAAGTGAAATAAATCATACAGAGAAAAACAAAAACCATATAATTTTACTTATATGTGAAATCTAAAGTAGTTGAACTCATAGAAACATAGTAGCATGATAGTTACAGAGCTGCGGGGAGATGCTGGTCAAAGGCTACAAACTGCCCAGCATGGGGGAAGACAGCTGTAATCCTAGTGCTCAGAAGGCTGAGACAGGAGGATCACTGAGAGTTCAAGGCCAGCCTGGCCTACATAGTGAGTTCAAGAAAAGCCTGACTACACTGTGAGACCCTGTCTCAAAAAACAAACGAAACAAAACAAAAAATCCCAAAGTACTGTATACAAACCTTCAACTATAAAATGAGTAAGTCTACTATACAGCATAGCCATGTGATACCTGTAAACCAACTTGACTGAGATAATCATTTCACAAAATGTATGTACATAAAAGTATCACCTTTCATACCTTAAGATCATAAAGTTTTATTTACTAATTACACATAAAACTTGGGGAAGAAGGATGGAAAGAAAACATAATCCCAGAGAGCCAGGTAACTACCAATGCCATGGATACCCACTGAATTTATCCCCACCCATAACTTGTTAATAGCTAAAATCAAAAACTGAGCAAGATTTTCTGTGGCTACAATTACTTCCACTGCATCTTTTATTTCCTTACTGGTACACCCCCTCAGTATCCCTCTTCTATTCTTTGTGGTAATAAAATTACCTACCTCAGAGACCGTTGTGAGAATTAAATGAAATAATGTGCATGGATAGTTTAACACAATGCCTGAATTATGAGAAGGGCTTGATAAATGGTAGCCACATTTTCATATGAGGTATTCTGTTATGAACAAATTACCTTTCAAGATCCAAATTTTCCTTGGACTCACTCTAAATCCCTGGCAATAATGAAATGTGACTTATGTTTGACACTACTACACTTCTCCTATTCTTTTTAAATGAAAGTAAGTCCTCTTGTCATTTTCCCTGATTAAGAGAGGAGGAGAGATCATCACAATCCCTGCTCTCCAGTGCACTCCAGTGCGTCACCATCACATTTGCTCAACAAGTTCTTATATTTTAAGATGTGTATTAACTATTTTCAGTCATCTGCCAACCTTCAACATTGTCTCTCTCTCTTACTTCTTGTAGTAAACTCTGGGACTTCAAATTTAAAACAGAAATGCACTTTAGATACCTTGACCTCACAGATGCTTCCTTAAGTGCCCCAAGAGCTCCAGGAATATGTGTGTGTGTGTGTGTGTGTGTGTGTGTGTGTGTGTGTGTGTGTACATGTCTCTCTCTCTCTCCCCCCTCTTCCTCTCTCCCCTTTCTCTTCTTTTTTCTCTCTCGCTCCCTCACCATACTGAGATACTAGGAAAGAGTTCCACGACCAACCTACACCCCCAGACCAATCTTAGCAATTTCTCCTGTAACTACCTTACACATTACCCTGTAACCATTAGAAATTATTTCACCTCTAAGATTCTAACGCTTATAAATTTCCAATTAAAACTGAATACCCTTTCAGCTTTCCCAATCTCTTGAAACTTTCTCTTCTTTCTCACTATGCCTGACAGTCTCCTAGTACCCTAGGCCATCAATTCCATTCTCTTTAATTTGTCTCCTTATCCAGTGTGAACAACTATTTGCATAAATTCCTTATATCCTCTTATCATTCCCACCTCACCAATACTCAGCACAGAGACACCTACACTGACTCCTCCTCTTTCAGGCTGTAAGCACTGCTGAAAGTGACAGTGGTAAATATAACGTCAGCTGGGCACTCGTTTTTCATCATTTATTTTATTTAATGTCTAATGATGCCTTACTGAAGTTCCTACAATGCCCTTCTCTAACCCTTTTTCTTTCTTAAACTTCTAAAGCCACATTCTGGTTTCCTCACTAAGCAGATGACATTATGCTGAGAATACAAGCATCCAATGTGAGCTCCCTCAGTATCCCTCTTCTGTTCTTCAAACTCTCTCTACCTTTTTCATCTTCCACCCAGCAACTCTGGCCTCTAAACTCAAGTGTGTTTCCTTTTTACCAAAGATAATCCCTCCACTTGTCCTTTCGATTTTACCACCTGCTTATGATACGAGTTAAGAGTCCCGGTTCTGTGGTTCAAAGTCCAGAACCTGGGCTCAGACCGTGTGACTTCAAATCTAGCTCTACCATTTACTATTATGTGTCTTTGGGCAAGTAACTCAACCTTTCTTGGTGTTGGCTTCCTTACCTATAAAGAGGTGATTAGTAATACGACCTACTTATAGTGCCACTGTGAAAAATAAATGAGGAAATTCATAAAAAGCATGTACAGAAGTACTTAACTCATAGTAAATGCTCAATAACACAGAATAGCTGCGATTACTAGTATCTTTCCCCAGTACTAGCTCTTGGTACATTTTCCCTTGTCTTTAAATCTGCTCAAGTCCCCTTTTTTTTTAAAATTAAAAGACATCTTTTCTGCAATTTGCTACCCCATCCCAAGACTTTTTCCCCTCCTTTCACCACTAAACTTCTCTAAAGAAAAATATACCTCCCTTCCCAAGGAAGCAGGGAACAGTGTAAAGATTTTCCAGTCAAATATACCTGTGATTGAGTCCAGCTCTCCCACTAGCAGCTGACCCCAAACAAGAATTTCTTCTACACCTCAGTCTTCTAAACCTGTAAAATACTACCCATACATTAAAGCCATCAAGGGGTCTAAACTAAAGATAATATAGTAGAACACATAGCCAAAGTAGGAGCTAAATGAATGCTGGTTCTCCATCTCTTACCCTGTCTTTAGCCTCTTACAATCCAGGATCATTATTACTCTACTTATGCTTCTTTATACCACTTCAGATTTTATTAGCATTGTGACATTGGTCAATTTGACTTCTCTAAACTTCAGTTTTCAGCTGTACAGTAACATCTGCCACATGCAGTTATCTTCATTATAAGTGAACTAACATCTATAAAGCGTTTTAATACAGTGGCTGGGCTGGGCATGGAGGCACAGGCCTGTAATCCCAGCACTAGGGAGGCTGAGGCAGGAAGATCGTTGTGAGTTTGAGACCAGCCTAGGCTACAAAGTGAGCTCAAGACCAGCATGAACTGCATAGTGAGACCCTTTTGTCTCCAAAAAAAATATATATATATATAGTGGCTGGCTACAATACACCCTTAATGATCAAATCACGACTTCTCAAAAAATAAAGGGCTAGGGAGAGGGGATGTAGGTTCTACGGGTTGCCATCCTAAAATGGGTAGGCATAATGGGTTCAATCCCCAGTACTTAAAAAAGAAAAAGACTTCAACTCTCTCCGGTAGGCTTCACTGATAACATGCTATTCTAATTTGCATTTAAAAACTGACCATTTCTTTTGTCTGCACCTGCTCAGCAAGCTTTTCTTCTCTTCAAAACAGGGGGGTGAGCCTTTTCTCTTTTGAACGCCTCTTGATGTAAGGCACTTCCCTTCTTCTGAATCACAGTCTGTTGTATTATTTGCTACATAAAATTTAATCTCTTTTAGCCTCATTTCTGAGCACTTATTTATTCATGTAGAATGCTTGAGCTCCCAGCATAAGTCTAGCTATTAAGGATACAAAGATTAACATGTTATAATTACTCAAGGAGCTTTTAAGGATGGTAAAAGCTCAAAGAGCTTTTTAGTATGGTAAAAGTACACTATATAACATTCGCAGTGTAAGAAATACTTTCCTAAGTGTATGCCCGGAGTTCTCTGCGAGCTAGAGTTACAGTATTTAAATTAGCCCACTGCAGTCAGCAGCAGTCTCTTTTAAAGGTATTTTGTGCTTGGCCAATGGCGAAGCTCTATATAAATATCTGTTAAACGAATAAACTATGAGTAGAAAGTAACTAGATAAGGATGGGAAAGGGCACTTCAGGCACAATAGAAAGATCTGGTAAAAAGGCATGGAGGGGTGAAAGCAAGTAATTCAGTACCGAGCAACGTTCCTGAATGATAGGAGGTGAAGCTACAGTCAAGGCAAGTTGTGGTAGAATTGCTAATCTGATCCCTGGGGAAAGATAATGCAGTACAGATAAATGCTTTTAAGTAAAGGACGAGCAAAATCAGATTTACATTTTGGTATAAGTACTTGGACAGCTTATGGGAAAATGGATTCCATGAGAGGCAAGCTAGCGCTAGAGTCCAGTTAGAAGGGTGCTGTAATAATTAAGATAAAAATGTGAGCATTGGAACTACACAAATGAAGTGAAAAGGGGGAATCAAGGCGGATACTGAACCTACTTAAGATCAACTTTGGCTGAACTGAACTGTGCACATTTGTACGTCCTCCAAGTCTAACAAAACATTTTACACTAAAAATGCTCTACGTAAAGAGACTCTTCTTACTGAAATCTACTTAGGGAACTGCAGCAAGTAGCCAACTGAGTCACTTCCGGTACACGGATTCCTAAGTAAAAGCATAATTTTTCCTTATAAAATTCAAAAGGTGCAGGTTACTCGAACGCTGAGTGTAGCAACATTTAAGTATAAACCAGCAGAGATTCCGGACATCTCTATCCTGATCTGTTTCACCACAAATGTTCGAACAAAATCCTCCCATAGGGTCAGAAGCTGTGCCCTGTACACCGAGACAAATGCCAAGGATCCTTTTGTCTTTGTTACACGGCTCATTTCCTGGACGGCCATTTTCACCACAGAACTTCCCCGATTAGTATCTAGTTACTGCATGAACGGTCAACCACAGGGGGCTGAGGAGAGAGCAGCGTTCCAGGCTGGCTTAACTGTAAAGAGGATTGGGAGGTATCTTGACGCTTCAGAGGTTAATGATTTCAACTTTCTTACAACCACGCGTCCACCCTCCGCTTGCTACGGTGCTGCTTTGAAAAGATAGGAGGATCCATTCTACAGTTACTGAACGTTAAGGGCACCAAAACAACAACAACAAAACCCCAAAGACACTAAGAAGTTTGTTTCCACTTACTCTAAAGGGCGCCATCTCTTTGACCCTCTCCGACCAAATTTTCTTACGGAGAGCGCAGAGGGACAAAACAGTGCTTTACTTCTCTCACGGTAGCCCCACCCCCTTAAGCTCCCGGCTCTTGCCCTCTTTCCGCCCTCCTGCGGTCTTTTTGGTGTGTGCTGCGGTCAGCTAGTCTGTGTTCCGCGAAAATGTTTTGTTTTACCCTTTTGATTTACCCGTCCGTCCTGGATAAATCCTTTCACAATATTCTACAAAGTTTAATTTAAAGTTGTTTCCTTGGGTGCAACTTTTCATTGTTTTTGTTCTCAGGCGTACGTGATTTGTCTACATAAGAAATTAAAACCCGAGTCCAAATCTTTTTAAAAATAACCACGCAGTCACAAGAACGTGTTACTTCTGCCCTACATGGGCAAATTCATTTATTCGTTCTAAAACCGTCACTTAGAACCAACTCTGTGCCAGACAGTTGTTCAGCGTACGGAACAAAACGTACTGCTTTTCTCATACAGTTTATGGCTCCAGGAGAAAAACAGAGACAAATATTACAAAGGGCCATATGCTATAAAAGACAATAAAACCATGGGTGAGGAGTTTGTTTTGTAAAGACCCTGATAAGGTGATTTTAAGAACTTTAGGAAAGAGTGTTCCATGAAGAAAGAACAGCAGATAAATTTAAATTCCCTTTAGTCAATGGCTAGAATGATTTAAATTCACTTTTGCAGAAGATCTAACTCCCTGTTTCTTATTATCTATCTTTTAATTTGCTCTTTATACTTTGGATTTCTTAAGGAGGAGAGGGAGAGGATGAGGAGAGGATGAAAACAGAATTAATACATGTACATGAACCAACTCCCCACGATGAATATAATCATGATTTACCGCAAACCTGTACTAATAAAAAGAAAATTAAATGAAATGGAACAATTCAGAGGTAGTGAAAAAACACATTACATAGGGGCTATTTGTGTTACTATAAGGACTTGGGATTTTGTTCCGAATACGATGGAAAGTCATTAGAGGATTTTGAGCAAAAATGTAACTCCATTCAAATTACATTTTAAAAATATAAATTTGGTGCTGTCAGAAAAATATATTAAAGGTAACACAATATTCTCAATAAGGGCAAGACCTCCTGTGAATAATTCTGAAAAAAAAAGTTCAAAATATGTCCATCAACATTTTCTATATTCATTTGTTTATTCATTCAACAGATATTTATTAAATGCAATTATATACCAGGTATTAGTGAAGCACATTCCACATTTGATGCTCAAAGCAGATCTTTTTTAATAGAATCCTCTCTGTATTACAAAACTGTTGTGTCTGGAGTGAGAATAGATTTTATCTCTCTGAGCTTCATAAAATTTACACCAATAAAATTTAGAGATATGAGCTTAAAAAGAGAAACAAAATCACTTTTTTGGAAAGAGGAGAGAAATGAGGAAATAGCTACATTGTTGGAGTAAGGTAGGGAACCCAGCTGCTCTAGGGTCTTTCTTTCCCTTATAGTATATGGGAAGAAAGTGACCCAACCCCTTGACAGTTGTTATAATTTGATTGGCTATTTTGGACTCTGAGACCCCTTTGGCCACTGACTGTCTCCACTGCTTACATCCAAATTCCTGAGAAAACTCCTTTTGGTCTTTGTTGGTCTGCCAAGGTGTTTATCTCTGAAATTTATGGCAGAGCCTTACATTCAAATCCAAGTTAGCAATTATTAAAGGGATACAGGTACCTTTTAGTGTACTAACATGGTGAGAGAATATATATATATGCATATATATGTATATATATTTTATATACTAAGTTTTCTGTAATATAGCCCTCTCCCCATTTTGTATCTTACTGGAGGTGGAGAGGAGCAAATCGGGGTGCTAGCCAAAGCTTGTTTTTCGGTTTTTCCCACTTCTCTTAAATGCTTTCTTTATCAGGGCTTTAACTCGTTCCAGTCAGGATTTGCCAGAAACCCCACTAAGACCCTTACCTTTTCCTGCTTGTCCCCCAACTTTATCTACAAAATTATTTGAAGAAATAATAATGAAATAAAACTAGCCAGGCATGGTATACATACCTATAATCCCAGAACTCTGGAGAGTGAGGCAGGAAGATTGCTGTGAGTTTTATAGTGAGTTCAAGGCCAGCCTGCAATACATAGCAAGACCTTGTCTCAAAAAGCCAACATAATAAAAAAAAATTAAAATAAATAATAATAGAGGCTACAAAAAACTGAGTGACAATTTTCTTTTACTTGTAATCATATATATAGATACATATACATAGATATGTATATTAAATACAATATAAATAAAAATAAATAGTACAACACAAAGAATAGAGGAAAATAGTGATAATTTTTAAAGATTACACCAATGCATTTCATTTTTGATACTGGGAATCGAACTCATGATCTCAGGCTTGTCAGGCAAGTGTTTATACAGCTGAGCTACATCCCCAGCCCAACACTAATGCATTTTTAAAGAAAAAAATCTACACGTTAGTCTACTAAAATAATGAATATTATAGTTTCTTTTTTGAAATGAATATTTGAATATGTCAATGCCATGTCAAAATTTAATACTTCTGAATATTCAATAAATGGTTTAAGTAAATTTATCATTATCTTTGTTCATAATTGATTGATGAATATTTTTTATTAATTTTAATATCAGTGACGTTTCCTTCTCATTAAGTAACGATATGTCAATAGAAAAAGTCCTAAACTTCCAATTAATGTTAGGATATATTCATAAAAATCCAAAATCTAAATATTAAAATACTACCCATGTCTTTTTTTCTTCAGAGTCATATATAAGGGAATTCAAATTTCTTGCAATTGAAAATTTCAATCAAATTACCTTCAGAAAATTATAAATTTCTATCATAGTTGCTAACAATTTAAGAAATTTTGTTCTTTAAGAATCTAAAAATGGGGGCTGGGGATTTAGCTCAGTGGCACAGCCCCTGCCTGGCAAGCATGAGGTCATGAGTTCAATTCCTGGTACCGGGAAAAAAAAATCTAAAAATGGCTGAATGAAAATTTTACATCAATTGTCCATGCTTTGGAATAATTGTCCAGTGTTCGGTTTAAATCATCAAGAAAGCCGGGTACTGCTTTTTTGATTTCTAGTAGTCAGACAAACATCTTTTTTCACTAATCCTGCTGTTGTTCCTTAAAATTTCATCCTTTAAAAATCTAAATATCCATTTTCTTATGTTATGCTACTGCTTAATGAATGACTTTATTCACAATTTTATAATCCAAACCTCAAAGAATAATTTTTTTTGTTTGTTTGTTTGTTTTTGGTTTTTGGTTTTTTTCCCCCGGTACCGGAATAGAACTCACTACCTTGTCCTTGCCAGGCAGGCCCTGTGCCACTGAGCTAAATCCCCAGCCCCTCAAAGAATAATTTAAAGCTTAGTTTTTCACTGTGCTTTTTCCAAATTTTTTTCTGTCTAAAACCTTATTAAAAATTTCATGCCACAAAAATCCAAATTCAGTAACATTTTTCATGTATAAATTAAAGTTCAATTTTCAAAAAGAAATATTGCATCTCTATTTGCACTCTATTTCACTATTTTAAATGTTAAACGAAAATCACTTCAAGTGGTCACATAAAATGGTAGATGGTTACAAATATATATACTATTAAAATTCAACAGCAATGAAAAAAAGTTAAAGTTTAAACAAAAATGCCTTCTAAGGGAAGGATGAAATATCTTATCACTGACATTTGACAAAATTGCCAAAGCATAGTGATTTTGCAGAATTTTACTTTGTCACTGTTTTAAAATTCTCTACCGATAATCAGTTTCCTTGTTGCCTACACTCATGTCTGACTAATTCCATCCCTGCTCATGATGCACTACTACTGCCTGGCATTGTTCTACATGTTAGGCATGAAGCAAGAAATGAAAGAAACACAATTCCTGACGTGGTAGAAGCTAACTATAAGTTTTTGTACAAAAAAACAAATAAACAAGATTATTGTAAATACTGATAAATATTATTGAAGGTGACTGGGTTGGGATAAGAGTCACTTTAGATTGGGAAACAAAGAATTTCTTCCAGGAACAGACATTTGATCTAAGGCCTGAATAGCAGAGGGTCCACTCACACAAATACCTGTGTATTCCAGGCAGAGGAAACAAGAAATATAAATTTCGACATGTGGGAACAAACTTCTTGCATCGTAAGTGAGATACACAGTGCTAAAAGAGTTGAATAGGAACCAGAAGCATATATAAAGAATTTGGGTTTTCTTTTTAAAGGTCATTTATCCTTAAATATTACATGACTTTGTTGTGTATTTACCAATTCATACTGATTGCCTTGGGGCATAAAGAGCAGCTTTGTACAAAGGAAAATATTAGAATCAAAATAAAATCTTGATCTTTAAATAGGATTCTTATGAAATAAAAGATTTGAACTAGAAGTGATGAAAATTCATGTACATGAAATCACCTGAAAATTTTGATAAAATGTAGATTTCTGGATACCACTACTGGATTTTAGCATTCATCTGTTTTTATGTAAGGAAGCTTCTGAACAGTATCTCTACTAGTTCTAATATGTATATTACTTGTACCACCTTAGAAACTAATCAGTTCTAATTAGATGGACTCAATGACTTAAAACGATATATCATTTCTGACTTGACATGACATACATTTCTAGACTTAACATTGTAAGATTCTATTATGGGTCTTATCTGATGATATTTGGTAACAGTGGCTGTCTTCAATATTATTTTGGATATATGACATCTTCATGTCATGACCTTTAGTCCAGCTCTACTTCACCATCTAGAACAGAGGTCATATTCTTGACTTTGTTATCATTAGGAGCACTAATTACTTCTGAAATTTTAGATTCATACATTTTCTCCTCTAACCTCAATTATTACCTTTTAAGTGCTTGGACCAATGTCTTTTCTTTGACCTATTGAAAATCGTCAATATCTGGGCCTCAATATCTGTACTAGCTATCTTTCTCCACACAGTAATTTACCCCAAATTTATCAGTGGAAAAAAAGGAACTTTCATTATTTCTAAGTTCTTGAGTCAGGAATTCAGAGGTTACTTGGCTTGAT